CATGTCTTACATGTCATTTGTCTGCCCCTCTGGGGTTTTGATCTCCATCATTTTCTTCCTGAAAGTGGACCTGCTGGTGCTGAGCATAAGTGGTCTTCCAACTCTGATTGTTGTGTTTTTGTTATTTGTTTGGCATTCTGCCACACACACACACAAAATAATAATTTCAGATTTACTTTGCCTCTTTATTTTTATTTATTCATCTTATTGAGAGTGCTTACAGATGTCATAGCATTCCATAGTTCAGTCACATAAAGCAATCTTGTACAATTGCTACCACAATTAGTTTCAAAACATCTTCTTTCTTCTTGAACTCGATATCACCTCCCCTTCATCCCCTCCCTCCCCTACCATACCCCCAAGTACCCCTTATTCTTTTTTTTCTATAATAGGTTTTTGATTGTTTGGGTTTTTCCTTTTTTTGTTGTTGCTATATCATACACAATCCAATATATCCATTCACCTACAATTCTGTTGTTCGATCCCATTGAGTGGGGTTATACAGTCTTCAATGCCATCAGCTCCCCACACACACCCCTTGCCCCCCCATCTCTCTTCCCAAACCATTACTCTTGTTACTGTTTCTGAAGGGTTATCTGTCTTGACTTCCTCTTTTTATCACCAATCAAACCAGTATTTAGGTCTGATAAAGTAAGGAAACTGGAGGGTATTCAAGGTTGTGAATCTGCTCTCTTTTTTAAAAAAAGGTATTATTTTTAATTTATTTTGTTTATTAGTATTTCCCCCTTTATTTGTGGGTGTAATACATAGAGTGAAAAACAGCTTATGCATTTGTGCACAGCTACAGCCATCATATCAGGAAGAACAGTGACAGTGTGCTAGTAAACCCCCCATTGTATGTGACTCTTCAACCTTTTTTCCCAGCCACCCTCCCATCTGCCCTCATTATCCCTTCCGTTTCTCCCGACCCTCCGCTCCTAGCCTCCTCATAGTCTTCAAAGTCTCTTTCTTTAATGTGAAAACCATTTTTTCTTTTCCTTGATATTAATGGTACTGTGAAATAGTAGTCTGTATGGGATCGATGAACTGCTAAGCATCGAGTCTTCCGTTTTGTCCACCGCACAAGGTGCTTGGCAGTCTTATCCTCGTGTTTTAGACATCCATTGTGTGCATGTGTCAGTTTACGCTTTGCTCCACAGACAGAGCCTTTCCTTTGGTTGCTTGGTTATGACATTTGTAAGTGTTCTTCATCACGGAGAGAGCAGTCATCTTGACATCAACGTGAGCTTCAATCGTGGCCTGCCATTTTTTGACCCTGAAGCATATTTTGTCATGAGTAAGATTCACGACGTGGAAGTTGGCCAGGCAGGTTTTACCTAAAACTTCCTCAGTAATTAGTTTGAATTTTCTGTTACTTGATCATTCCGCAAGTCAGCAGGGTAACATCAAGACCCTTGAATCCAGCAGATGTGATTTTGGTTCTTGAGCCTTGGTGACTAATGTTTTCCCAGTACTTTTTATATTGAACAATAAAAGCTGATGCCTTCACACCATTCCAATTTCTCTTATGAAAAAGGATCAGCCACTTCTTTCGTGGTTCCTTTTTTTTTGCCACCTTTGTAAGGTGCTTGTGTTTGCCAGTGGCCATGGTACCAAAAGGGGACTAAGTTGCTTTAGAGGGTTTTTTATAGAGAGATGTATGTATATAGATGTATAGCGCCCTTATGGCACAGTGACTAATGCTTTTTCTAAAATGTTCTGGAAATGACTCAAGGTGTGGTTGACTTGTTGGAATAATAATACCAGGACTGATGTTGGTAGTGGTAAGGATGGTAGTCAAATAGAGTTTAGATTTCTTGTAAAGTTTTTTTCTTTTTTTTTTTTAAGAATATTTTCTTTTTATATACTGTAGATGAATGAAAATTAAGACAATATTAAAAGCCAATTAGAAATGGATAAGCTACTAAGAGGTAAAGCACCACTTAATTAAGAACTGTAAAGCCAGTATTGTGAAGTCACAGAAGTCAGATGAAGGCTGTAGTGTTTTACAACCAGATTGGTCACGAGGCACAAATGTAAAGGCCAAGCTAGTTATGCGCCAGAGATACACTGTGAGACTACAAGGCTGATGTGGAGACCGTTGATGCCTTGACTGATTTCCATTTAGGTAAATTGAAGAGGGAATATTTTCCCTGGAAGGTGAGCTACAAGGACACATACTATGCTGGCAAATTTTAATTTTTAAAATGAGAATTTTCCAGTGTGTTAAAATGCTGCTGGTGAAAGATTCAGAGGACAGGAGTTTAGCATGATTGAAAAGATGGGAGTAGAGTCTTGAAGTGGAAATCATGAGACCTAGTTTTAATCCAAGCTCTCTCTGATGCTTAAATTGCTTCCTTTCTAATGGAGGTTGGCAAACTTTACCTGTGAAAGACTGGAAAGTTCATTCTTGTAGACTTGGTGGGTCATAGGATCTGTCACACCTATTCAACTCTGCTCTTATAACAGGAAACAGCCGTATACAATAGGTAAAGGAATGGGCATCACTGTTACGATAAAATTTCAATGGACACAGAAATGAAAGCTTCATAAATTATATAATTAAACATTACTCGTTTCCCCAGCCATTAAAAAGTATAAAAACCACTCATAACTCATCTGTCCTACATATACAGGTTTAGATTTGGCCTGTGAGCTACAATAATTTGCCAGTCTCTGATCTATAGAATGAAAGTTGAAGTGAAGTATTATTTAGTTTTACTTTTATAGTCTTAATTGGGGAATTCTTCTTGATTTAATCATCTATTTAAGTATAAATGTAATTTATCCTGTATTTCAACTGACTTAACCTTGTATATCAGAAGCAATTCCTTGCCTCAGTTAGAATTCTGCAGAAGAACTCAGAATTTATGTGACTAACGTTCCGAGGCTTTTGAGGTACCGTATCCTTGGGAACACTTTCTTGAGCTTACTTGAAGAGAGGTGGTTTAATTCCCTAACTGCATGCTATCGAGATGATAATTTATTTTAATATTTTAAATAATTTACCTTTTTCATAATTATATTTTGAGAAATTTTAATGGGAAATTCGTATGATTTGACACAAATTTAAAATAATTATACGTTGAAAACGAAAGTTTTTCTTGGCCAGAAGACCCTGAACTAGAGGCATTGTTACTCTTTGTTCAAAAAGGAGATTTCACACGCTTCAGAGGGCTATTAAAGGTAAGTCAGCAATGAACTGTTGGTGCTGACGTTTGCTCTCGTAACGTTTTAGGGTTTGGCAACTGCCTCTTGTAGGGTCATTGTCAGGTGGAATCAATTCGATGACCATGGGCTTGGGCTTGGTTAACATTGATGGCATCTTTCATTCTCATTTTCCCTTAAACTAGTTTTGGTAAGTTATGTATTTTCCAGAAATGTTAATTTTTTAAATGGCTTAAAGCAGTCAATCACAATAAATAGACTTTTAAAGCCTGGAGCAATAAGTGTTTTAATTGCTGGAGAACTCTTCTGATTCGGGTTCTTTTGCTTGTTTATTCATTTATTCATTTCCTTGATATTAAGACTTACTGGGTGCATTGCCATGGGTTATATCGATATCTTTGAGGTTTTTACTGTTTTTTTCTCCACCTGTGCTCACCCAGAACCCTGGAAGACCACCTCAGGCTAAACCAACAGTTCTCAACCTTTGGGTCACAACCCCTTTGGTGGTCAAGTGACCCTTTCACAGGGGTCGCCCGATTCATAACAGTAGCAAAATTACAGTGATGAAGTAGCAACAAAAATAATTGTGTGGTTGGTTTCTGTTAGTTTTCTGATCCATGTCTGATTGGGAAATGGTAAGATCACCTTTCATAAAGGACAGAGGGGATGCTGGGATTGGTAGGCAGTCCTTTGTGACCCACCTATGGAATGCTGTCTTGTATGAGCCACTGTAGAACCTTGGTAACTCTTGGCTTGGATTGTTATTCAGTATTTGAACTCAGCGTGAGTGAGTATCAAAAAGTCCGAGGACTGACAAAATGGTATGGAAACTATATGTTTTGATACATTTCTCGGTGTGGAAGGCCCTAGCTGCCCTTTGATAACCTGTTCTGAATCTTACTTGAAGCATTAAAAGTGAAGATTTGTGTGACTGAAGAAGGAGAATAGAAAAGCGGGGGAGGAGAGGAAGAACTATTTCTTTGCTTTTCTGATAAAGCATTAAGTCAAAATCTGCCTTACTAATAGTATACTAATGGGATGCTGTTGTCTTCAGTCAAGTGGAGTGCTACCATGAAATTTTTTGATAGCTAGTTGGTTTTTGTCCATCAGCTGTAGAGGTTATCTATGGAATCGTTGATTTATAACTGTTTGAGGCTTCTCTGGAGAAGCTGGACTAATGAGAAGTAAAAAGAGAAATTACTTGATTTGAAGTATTCATTTACACACAAGTCCAAAATTGGTAGGTAAGGCAACAGGCTGGTTACTACCACTGGCTCACAGGATTGGGAGAATAAAGGGACTGTCAGATCCAAAACACATAAGTCAGGCAGCAGGCTAGACACTTCTGCAGGCTTGCATCCCAAGATCGATAGCTCTGAAAGTAGAAAAAATACAGAATTCTACCAAAAATAGCTATTAATGCTTGCTCCCTAGGCACCACATCACACCCTAAGGAAACTCCTTTGGGCTGGTCAAATGATTACATTAGATTTCATTATGGAAGTAGTCTTATGTTACATATAATTAGATTACATCTCTAGTATTTTGCCAAACTATTGGGAATCAGACTAATCAAGTTGACACAAAATTATAAGCATGTTAGAAATTATAAGCATGACGAGTTTTGTTGTACACAGGTCACTGGAAGCAGCGGGCCAACAACAACATAAAAGTCAAAATGGTTCTTTCATGACAAGTTGATACTGAAACTTGTCAGTGTAACCAAGATTATAGTTTTATTAAGTTTCATTTTAAGGATTTTTCAATGATTTTGCTGCTATTGCCACGTAGGTATTTATTGACTTGCTTGAACAAGGTTGTATTTGTTTTAGGCCCGCAAAGAAATGGAAATGAAAGAGACTACTGAACACAAGCCGGGGAAGATGAAGTCAACCAGTGAACCACTGTCGATTACTGGTGTAGAAGTCAGTCCTCTGAAGAAATTCACCATTCCAAAGATCAGAAAGAAAGCTAATAAAGGTAATAGTTCCATGGAAGATGAGATTTTAAAAACATTTCTTCCTATATTTCTGATTTTTAGTTTGTTTTCTTATATTTTGACTCAATGTTGTCTTAAGTCAGATCTTTAATACTTTAAGCATACATGTACCTCTGGTCCCAGATAAGAGGAAGTAGACACATTTTTCCTATGCCTCCCACCAAATATACCTAAAATAAACTACAGTGTAGAGAAATAACAGACCCAGCTTTGAACCCTGGGACTTCAGGGACAACATAGTAGTAAGCTCTCTGGGCTTTCTTTATGTCTACTAAATATCTTTACCTGGATGCTGGAGAAGCCCACAAACCAGAAACGGCAACAGTGACAGACCAAAAAAAGAGAAGAAATGCCTGCTCTTTCCTGAAAACTGGAACTAATCTAGAAAGACAGAAATCTGCTTGAGAATAAATATTCTCCTGCTGCAAAACACCAGGGAGAAAGACCATGGCCCCTGCATTTTTATCAAAGGACTAGGGCCAAGGTTTACACCCATCCCACCCCTCCCTGCTGAGGTGGTATTAGAGGAGACCATATGGGGAACCTGGACTTTGAAAAGGCAGTTTGAAACCACCAGCCGCTCTGCTGGAGAGAGACTGGGCTTTCTGTTCCCGCAAACAGTTGCAGTCTTAGAAACCTACAGGGAGTTACAATGAGTCAGCATTGACCCAATGGCAGTGAGTTTTTTGGTGGTGCTTTTTCCCAGCTCTTACCTCTGTGGTGACAGAACAAACAAACCCTGCCATTGAGCCCACTCTGACTCATAATGACCTAGAGGACAGGGTAGAACTTCCCCTATGGGTTTCCCAGTCTGTAAGTCTGTACAGAACACAGATAGTAGCCCAGCACATTACTCACTATGCCACCAGGGCTCTGTAGAACCAGTGGAGGCCAAATTGGGACTTTGGACTTTTAACCACACTTAACAGGAGTGAATTCCCTCTGGGAATGGCAATTAGAGATCAGTGAGGAGCCTGGACTTCTACCATCCCAGCAGTAAAAAGACATCTTTCTCCCTCCCACAGTTTACTGAAGACTGAACGAGGGGTGTAGACCTCATTCCCTGCCTGCTGATAAAAAGACAACTCTTGCATGGTGTTAATTGAGGCGATGTGGTGAACTAGGATTTCACCCCCTTCCCCTACTGGGATGATATGAAGAAAACTAGAGAGTATTTAAATATGATCCAGCATTTTATAACATTACCCAAAATAACTAAAATTAAAAGTCACTTATCTTAACAACCAGGAAAGTCTCAGCTTGAATGAGACAAGGCACTCAAAAAGTTGACCCAGGTTTTAGAATAATCTATCATTCTACCATGATAGAATGTAGCTATCGTGAAGATACTTCAACAGGCAATTGGAAACACTCTTGAAACAAAAAAATATATAAAATCTCAGCAAAGAAATGGAAAATATAATCAAGAAGCAAATAGAAGATGTGGAGCTGAAAAACAATGCTCAGAAGAATGGAGAAACCAGGGTCAAGAATTAGTGAATTTGAAGGTAGAACAATGTCATTTTGCTGATTGTGACATAATTGTGACATAATTATGAAAGATACTACCATTGGAGGAAACAAGCTCAAGAGAACATGGCATGTCTCTGTGATAGTCTACAATTTCATGTGAATCTATAATTATCAAAATTAAAGGTTCTTAAAAACATTGTTTTTAAGAATGTGTTATTAAATGCCATGAAATTAGTCTCTGATTCATACTTGCACAATGGAACCATTGTGATTCATAGGGTAGTCTTTGGCTGATACTCAGAAATAGATCTTCTTTCCTTTCTTCCTAGTCCATGTTAATCTGGAAGAGCTGCTGAACCCAGTTAATTATCATAGCAGCATACAAACTTCCACTGATAGACAGTGGTGGCTATAATTATCATAGAAGCATATAAGCTTCCACTGATAGACAGTGGTGA